AACCTGATGAATCCATAACTATAATGTTTAAACGACTAATGTTTGTTATAAAAAATCTCAAAGCTACATATAGTAGAGTAAAACGGGGTAATGGCGGTTACTTAAGCGGAAACTCTCCCAAAACTGGCAAGAAATTTTAGATTTAGGATCTGCTTAATGCAATGGATATCTACAAATGTTTACTGGTAATATAGACTGGTGCAAAAGAATTCCATAAAATTAGGTACTACAGAGACAAAGCTGAAAAAGTAAGAAGTGAGATTAATCCGACCTCGAAGTAATACCAATTAACGATTTTTGCAGCGTATAAAACCGGAGAAGACACACATTTCGTTGAGAATCAAACATATTTATTAAAGAAGAGATATGACGAAAGTTTTGCATGTAATATTTTGAAAACAAATAGTCAATTTTTTTATTTTTACTAAAATAAGTAATTTTTTTTGGTAAAATTAACGAATTTGATTCGTAAACTTAAATTGTCTCGAAATACAAAGTTTGCCGCAATAACTAGGATGATATCTACGAAAATGGGCTGATTTTAGAAGCAAATTGATGGGTGATTTCTTGCACACTAATTTCTCTGCATGAACAGATCTGCTTGATTGCATGTAAATGGAAAAAAATATCGGGCGAGGTAGAGCGAGCCGAGAATCGAATCCGGGCGAATGCTCTGCCAATTAAGCTACTCATCATCTCGCACCTTCACATATCTTCTCTGTTTTTGTCCTTTACTTATGATATCAATTATCAAGACGATATTTCAAGTCTAAACATATATCCGTCCTCTTGCAATTATAACAATATTTTAACATTTAATCATCTATAAAGGCTTATATAAAGTTACTACATTTTGCTTTCGTATTTACAAATACACAACGGGATTGCTGATTTATAATTATCTTTGAGAGTTGCTCTTCCCCCACTGTCACGGCGATCCAGTCGGACCTTTTCACAGATCGATCCTGGATCGCTGAGAGACACCCCGGAATGAGGTTGCAACCGTCATGCCGCGGGAAGTCTCTTGGGTTACCCCAAAAGGCAATTTTCGATGACAGTAAAGGAACGCAGACCCCGTTTTTTAATTAATGTTGCACAGGGCTTCGTAGTATATATTTTAATAAAATTTGACGATATCATTGTGATAAGCTGGAGTATGCTTCTAAAGGATCTTGATTCGAGGAGTAAAGAGAAAACATATCGAGAAAGCGAGTTGTTGGAGCTCGGGAATCGAACCCGAGGACCTTTCGCTTGCCGGGCGACTGCTCTACCAATTAAGCTATCCAGACCCGATACCTAGTTTATCTTCCTTCGCCTCTGTTGCCATGATTTATTGATCTTTACGTCTCAAAGTGATATTCCTAAAGTAGATAATAGTTTGTGATATTGAGGCTATGTTCCGATATTCATTGTCGGTACCGAAAATCTATAATCGTATTATGTATGCTGTAGATTTTCAGCATTGACAATAAACATCGGAATGCAGCCTGAATAGAATATATTTGTCGAGTAACTAATCTTTTTCCTGTTGAAGAAAATAAAATAAAAAAATTTTAATTATCTGGGAAAAAATGATTATGATTATAAATAATTATATGAAGTCATATACTCGTATACGAATTTTGCCCATATGTGTGGTTCCAAATATATATGATCATATACGTCTGTACGAAAAAAATGATGTTACGTCATTTAATTAAATGTCGATATCATGTGCTGTCAGAAGCACAAGTAGCCAGAAGCGTTTACTTCGATTGTATTTGTATATATTATAAGTTGTAAATAAATAACAATATTTTTTCATTGTAGACATATATGATTATATATGGTCATGTATAGACAGATTTCATACATCATCTTTTTTTCCCTGGATTGTCACTACTGAAAATCTATAATTCGTATCATGCATACTGTAGATTTTACGAGGTTACTTGCTGCAATAGCTACAATAATATGTAAAAAAAAGTCTCATTATACGACTAGGTTGATAACCGCTTCCACACATAACTTCTTTTCTTCATGAGTAAAATACTTACAATACTCCATTTTATCCAATAATATAGTTTAGCAAAGTAGCCATAAAAGTTTTGCCGGGTAAAATCAATCCATATTTCTCTGCGTTCAAATTTCCGCACGTATCGCCGAATGCTCGTTAAGTTAAATATGAGAAAGCAGTTGCCGTCGAGTGCGTACCATCGCGAAGCGCTTCCGCAGATTATCATCTCGATGTGTTCAATTAAAAAAGAAAGAGATATAAAGATAAAAAGAGATTGAGATAATAATAACTGCAACGTGATCGGCGAGAGAACGGCTGACCGAAGAGGCGATTGTCGAAACGCAGCGATAATCCTCGCGACTAAGCTCGACGACGACGTCCAATCGTCGCGATCGTTCGCTCGATCGGCGGACGCGGTCGAGCATTCGCGGGTGCAATCCGGCGTAATTCGCTCGCGTTAAAACCAGCCTCCGTTATCGGGTCGCGCGCGAGATTGCATCCCGCAATTAATCCGTTGCGTAAAGTCGCGGCAATTTACCGTCGTAGAGAAAAAGAGAGAGAAGGAAAGAGAGAGTGGGAAAGATAGAGCGGTGCACCGTCGATTCGCCGTAATTCGCCCGTACGAACCCGATGATGACACTCTGATGGCGCATTATGCGGAGATTACGCGCGCGCACGCTTCTCCCGTCAAGGTCTGCGGCCACCATCCGGCGACTGCGAAATTGTTGACGAAACCGCAGAGCGCGGTTTTCTTTTCTCTGACATTCGTGTGATTTTTTCTTCACCGCGATCCTCTAATCGTTCGTCCGGTCGCCCGTGGCCCTCGGTCGTCTCTCAATCGCGGTGAAAATAATCGCTGGAAACGCGGCAGACGTTGCTTACACCGCGGAGTCGTTACACGCACGTAAAGTTCACCGTTCTACGAGAATGTCGTTAGCGCGTGTGTTATTTTCCGTCGTTCGCGTCTCGAATTTATTTTCACACACTGTGAATGAATTGAAAATAACGCTTTGAATGTTAACATATTTAATTGAATTTTTCGCTATCTCTCCGGGGAAGAAAAGGTCATATACAGGGTCTCCGCCGGGATCAAACCCGAGACCGCTACCAGCACAACAGGCCAATACGCTGTCTGCTACGCCACGCTCGTGCTCTTATGAGCTTATATCTGCTGGGTATCTAACGGATACCTGAGGATATCCTATAATTATTGCAATATCCCAAAATGTCCTTCAGATAAAGTGTGCTGTGTGGGTATACCCATTAAGCGAGAAACGTTCAATCAATCTTTCAAAACATTGATTTTATGTGGATTTTATAAACATTTTGACATATTTTATAAATGTTTTTAAACTGTTACTTGATGATATTATATTTTTAAATATTAAAATTATGATGTAGAAACATGATTTTTTATGTTTCGGTCAAATATTGTTAACAGTAATGTTGTATACAACATTAAGAATTGCATATTTGAAAACATTACGTGTTATAAAACAAAAACTTTTCGCCACTTCCTCTACGTCGAGACTTAAAAAGAAAATTTGCTAAAACCTTCTAGCATGCACAGAGAAGAATTGTCATTTCATATCTGTCCGTGGTTTCTCACGTGGATGAATTACCGGCTGCCGATCGAGATGGAAACTTCGAAGGGATATAAAATGATGATTTTTTTTCTGTGTATGCTAGAAGATCTCAACAAATCTTTTTTTAAGTATTAACGTAGAGAAAATGGCCAAAAAAAATACAATGGCAATTAATTAATTATGTATCAATCATATATAGGAAAATTTCATGTGTAATTTTATATGATTATATATAGCCATATGTGATCATGTATACAAAATTTTTCAACGGGTATTTTAAACAATAAGACGTCTAAAAGATATTTTTGAGACGTCTTTTAGATGTACGTGTTATTTGGGACATCTTTCAGACATTTTTCCGTTTAGCTGAAAGGATGACTGTGAAAAGATATCTTTTCGATATCTTTTAGCTTCATGTTTTGTCTAAATAATAATATATCTCGTGATATATCTTAAGGATACCTTTGCTTCTTCGGATATCCTTTTGACATTTAAGATATCCATAGGATATCATATAGACAGATGGACATATTTGGACATCTGTTGGATATACCTTATAATAATAATAATAATAATAATATAGTTAAATATTTAAAAAAATATATAATATTGTAATAACATTAAATAATATTACTTTTAAGAATATTATTAGAATATTCCCAGACAGCACAAATGTCCAAAATCGGGACATGAGACGTCTTTTAGACGTCTTGAAGTCGTGTTTAAGATGTGATATAAAACGTCTTATCTCGATTTTGGATATTGTATTGTCTGGGTTACGTTTAATATTCTAATAATATTAGAATATTATTAATAATATATACTATAATATTTAATATATATTCGAATATTAGAACATATCCAGAATATTACTTAGTATTAAATAACATTACGCGCTTATAGGGAGTGTGCTGTGTAGATGAGTGTCAAATTATCCAACTGAAATTCATTGTTCCGGCAATGCCACGGATTGATTATCGATCAAGACAATCGCAGCCACATGAGTCACCGTAATATCGAGCGGCATCTAATACCAACACATTCTCAGAAGAGATTCTCGTGAAGATAATCTCATTATCCGCTTCCCGAGAAATCGTGTTCCTTCGAACAACTGCGAATTTCGTCACTACTACGTCACTACGTCACTACGTCCGCCATGTTCGATACATCGATTTTCCCGGTCACATGTCTCGACACCGAGTAACTTTCACGAGACGCGATGAATTATCGTCCCGAACGGAGAAGCGCTGCATTTCGGGAGGGAACACGTCGCTGTCCGCCACGACGTCCACGTTAGCGACGCGAACTGGTGAGAGATTTTTCAATTTCTCCAATTCGTACTTCCGCTCGCTGAATTCGTTCGGAATCGTCACGCTCGAACCTCCTCGTTGCTATCGAAGATCGACTCGCCGATACTCGATGCTCGATGTGGCCTAGCAGTGATCGAGAGCAGCGAAGATGTCCGCCGGGGTGCAGTAGATTAGAATGTTATTAGTCGCTCGGTCGGCTGCGGTTTGTGAGTAAATACCAGCTGGATGCGCAGCCCGACGTTACCGTGACGGTGTGCTAAGGTGCACGGACGAGGCTACGGAAGCGTCGGACGAGAAATCCACCGGAAAGTGAGAACGGGGGAGAGAAAGAGAGAGAGAGGGAGAGAGGAAGCCGCCGAGGAGATGGGTCTCTTCCAGGCCACTTCGCCTTTCGACGCCGACGTCGGTAAGTAGAACGTCACGACGATGACGACGATGACTCAATCCATGCGACACCAGCGAATTCTCCAGCTGGCCAATCACGAGCTGGCTGACAGATCGCCGAGAAAGATCGTCGTGAATCGTCAATTCGCATTTAGCGCATTAAGCGGTTGTTGACATCTGACCTCCGACTGTATCGCTGCGTTTTGAGGGCTCGAAATCGTTCACTGGTTTTTGGAAATTCGGCTCCTCCCCTGTCGAGGTCCGATCTCGTGCGAAGGCAGGAGGACGACGGGGATCCCGTCGGGACACTTAATCATCTTCAGCTCGCGCTCTCTCTCTTTGGTGTTTTCGTGACTGTAGATAGCGCTCACCATCGTTTGTTTCGTTCTTATCTCTGTTCTGATTGTTCTAATCTGTACAAATGCTGTCTCTCCATGGAGGCAATTTATTCCTTGTTATATTTAATTTATATATATTAATATATATGTTTTATTTATTTATTTATTTATATTGATTATTGTTTCTTATCATACTGTTTCTTATCATTATCTACATCTATATCGTTTAATTATAATGTACTAGAAAAGGCAACCAACGAGAACAATGTATCGGAGGAATGGGGGAAGATAATGGACATCTGTGACAAGGTGGGCACCTCTGCTCAGAACGCCAAGGACTGTTTGCGCTCCATCATCAAGAGACTGTACTCTCAGGATCCGCACGTGGTTGTGCAGGCTATAACGGTTAGTAGTGCTCCCATGTCTCGACCAAAATGACTCGAGTCCTGGCTGACCCACAAATATAGTGTGAATCTACAATCTCGTCCTGCGAATTTTTCCACTCAGCTGTTGGACGCATGCGCGAGCAACTGCGGCAAGACCTTTCACCTGGAGATCGCATCCCGAGACTTCGAGAACGACCTGAGGAAGCTCATTCATCATTCGCAGCAGAAGATCGTGCAGAAGGTGAAGGCGCTCCTGAAGAAGTGGGCGGAGGGCGACTTCAAAACGGACCCCCAGCTGAATCTGATCCCGAGCTTGTACAATAAGCTCAAGAGCGAGGGCCACGACTTCGCCTCCGTCTCGGATTCAGTGAGTCCCCCTGTAAAACTGCCCCGTGGTTGACGCATTCATCGCTTGAAGATACGACGAGAACCACTAGCGCTTTGCTTCGGATCGCACGAGTCCGAGCTACATAATTCAAATCTGTCCAGATAAGACTATCAGTTATTGACGCTGCGTATTCCCCCCCTTTGAACTCGCGTCGTGCCATTTCTGTCTACTTTCCGAGTACTGTCGAGTGTATTTCGAGCATGTCGTTTAATTAGTGATTTAATAATGCAGTGGTATTGTAACACTTTTTTAATTTATATTATTATATCTTGTGCATATATAACGTAATGTCTTTTAGCCAAAGGTTAGCGCTCCGAACAGAGATCCTAATGTAGTAACGAATTCGCAAGAAGAAGCGGACATTGCAAAAGGTAAGGGAATCTTATGATAAAAATAAATCGAATTATTGGAGCTTTTTATACAATAAGCGATAAGACTTGAGCAGTAAGAAAACTGACCAATCATGATCGTTTGTCAGAAGAATAATCTACTGTGATTGGTCAATTTATTTATTGCTTAAGTCTTATTGCTAGGAAGCTTCTAATCATTTAATTTATTTTTATCATAAGATTTCTCATATGTTAATTATAATTTTATTGTAATTTCTAATATTTTACATATAAATCATATTATGTCATTTTTATGTTTTACATATGCAGTATATTATATTGTATTTTCTCCTATAACGTTTTAAGTAATATAAACTGTAATTCTATTATAATTTTTAACGTTTTGCACGTAAACCATATAATCCATTATAATTTCTTATATTTTATATATATATATATATATATTATATTTTCTAACATTTTATATATGAACTATATTCTATTGTAATTTTTTTATGTCATATATATATATATATATATGGACTGTGTTTCATTATAAGTTTCAATGTTTTACAGCCATACATCTCTCGTTACAAGAAACTAAGGTGCACGCTCAGAGCACCTCATCGCACAGCTCACCAGCCTCTAAAAAGAATTCCAGTTTGTATCCTAGTATGAATTCCGTGCTCGGAAGCTCAAGTACCCCGGAAGGCAGAAAAGTGCGCGCTCTGTACGACTTTGAGGCCGCGGAGGACAACGAACTGACATTCTTCGCAGGGGAAATAAGTGTGTAACGGACATTATGATTTGTCATTTGCAGCTGCTGATACGCATTTTTATGAATTGAATGACTTTCTATTTTCCAGTTAATATCTTGGACGATTCGGACCCAAATTGGTGGAAAGGTAGCAATCAGAAAGGCGAAGGACTCTTTCCCTCTAATTTTGTCACTGCTGATTTGTCCGTCGAGCCGGATGAATATACAAGTAAGATACACGCAAACTCGATTAGATTCCTCCGACACACTATGGAGTTAGTTATGTATGCAAACAGTGTTTGCCTTAGATGATTTCAGATTTATCTGGATGAAAATCAGATGAAAATCCGAAAAATTCATCCTCGATGAGATGATGATGGTTTTGCTTTTGATTTATCTAGATGAAAGATGAGTAGCGTTACTTATCTATCAGATAATACTTTAGATAATATTGTTTTCATAAGGGACTTTATCAAAATTTATAATAAAAATTACGTAGATCACGTAAAATTGCATATCGGTTAAGTAATTCGTCAACATAATCACTCTAAATTTTAGGATCTAACAAAAAAAACCAATAATCATTGACTGCTCACTAATCACTGTGTTTTCTATAGTCATTATTTTAGTATTCTTCTATAAAGCCCATGTAAAATTATTGACCGTGAAAACCAATCTAACTGGCGGTTACGACTGTCGATTTTTGAAGGGCCTATCATAATGAAACGTCATGTAACTAGTCTATTGTAATTGATTCATTAAGAATTGGCATTCGGGTCGGCCTTTACAGTCGACAGTTTGATAATACGGGCTTAAAGTGGATTGATCAATTGAAACAAATGATCTGTTCTTTTTAGTTGCATCGCTGAACTAATACAGTAAGTTAGAGTGAGGCAAGTATATTTTGTCTCGCTCTAACTTATCGCACCAGTTCAGCAATGCAGCTAAAAAAAACTGAAATTAAAATCGAAATTTATTGATTCGTTGAAATCTAATTTCCAATTCTTAATCTGATACAGGCTTAACACATATGTCCATATCATTTTATTCATTTTATCGAAAAGTGAGTTCAGAATATAGACCATAACATCATTTCAGATCATTTTTAGGTGAGATAACATGTTTTTTTATCTAACATGAAGATGAATATATTTGGTATTTCTTCCATCTAGATAAAAATAAAGGTGATCTATTTATTCATCTGGACGATTATTTAAATAATTTTATCTAAATACCGATAAACACTGCAAATAATTCGTCGCTCGCGACTGAAATAACGTTTACGGCTACTTTGTGCGCAGAATTGGAACACAGTAGCAAAAAATTGGTGCAGTTCGCGGACGAGGTGGAAGTGAAAATGGTGAAGCGCGAGCCGGAGGTGGTGGAGGTCGAGATCGACGAGAAGAAGATGGACAGACTGTTGCACCTGTTTCACGAGGCAGATCCGCAGTGCGACACGTCCGATCCTCAGGAGATGCTCGATCTGGAAGGTAACTTGGGGGACCTCGATCGAACACGATCGAGTCGGACGGTCTTCGAGAATTCGCGTCTCGCATTTTGCAGAGCAAGTCACGGCGATGGGACCGCTGATCGACGCCGCGTTGGAGAAGGTGGACAGGCGGCATGCACAGCTCACTCAGTTAAGCTCCGACCTGGTGGACGCCCTCAATCTGTATCACACTCTGATGCGAGAACCGGCGCCACCAACGCCGTCTGGCTACACTTTGCCGAAAATGCAGCCGCATATGAATCCTTATTCGTTTCACAACACGGGACCACCGCCGCCGCACGTAAGCGCGTTTCATCCGACCGGAAGCGTATTCGCGCGTGTAAAATGAGACGCTGATAATATAAGTGGACCAAATCTGGTGCGTGGATTCGAATTCTCTCGTGAGCTGATGAATTTTAACCGACATGAAAGTTTTTAGCCTGTTGAGTTCGAAATATCTTCAGGAAGATACGGTATAAGATATCTCTAAAAATATTTTAATCTTTTTTATTCCCTCAATGTCGTTTGATATAGCGTTTAGAGCTACTTAATAATAATTTACTCATCTCGGTTTTATAAGAAAATATAAATTTTTCTCAATTTTTTTCCAATTTGTCACGATAAGATTTCTAATGTTTTCCTGTTAAAAGTTCACTTCGAATCAAATTCTTGAAACACTATTAAATGATATTAAGGATCCTTGGCCTCCCTCACCGCAGTCGTATCGTTTGATGACGTCAGAAGCAAGAAAATGCAGTTCGTGAAATAACACTTGTGATCGATTGAGTGCATTTGTAAAATATTCCAAAAACTTTTGTTTTAACAACCGATGAGTAACCCTAAAAGTAACACAACATATAATCATTCTTTTTAGCTTATCTTTTCTCATGATTTTATTGCGTTAATTTTACAGTTATTTATTGAGGTTATTGAAATAAACAGAAAGTTTCCGAAACATTTTACAAATATGTTCAGTCGATCACAAGAATCATTTTAACGAACATATTCTTTTGGTTCAACTTATATTTAACAAGAATTTTGAGCATACATTTTCGTGCTTCTGACGACAGTAATCAACATGGCTGCTGCGAGGAAACAAGATTTTAAGTTTCCAAAGTAGAAAACCTGAACCCAAAGAATTAAAACTTTTCTAGAGCGCGTATCATGTATCATCGCACATGTATGTATTTCTCACAATTATTATAACAAGTTTTGAAACGGTTTAACAGGTTTTACATGTAAACTTTATCCGTTTCGTTTTATTCGACACTCGTGCCACGCGATTCAGCCCACGTGTATTAGGTGCACAAATTAATTCAGTGCTTTTTTTTTACGAAATTCAAAGTTTATTTGCAAAAAGTCAAGTGCAAGTTTAATGTTCGAAATAATTTTTATTATTTTCTATGACTTTACTCCATCTATCGGGCAGCCGATGAATGCTCTCGCGGAAAAAACTTGATTTTGACTCAATAAAGTCATCGATACTTTTTCGGACCTCGTCGACTGTTTTAAAATGCGTATCCGCTAGATGATGTTGAAGCAACCAAAATAGGTGGTAATCCAACGGGGCTGGATGAGTCACATGAGGGAGAATTTCCCGGATCAATGTACAGATGAGATCCTTCGTCCCTTTTGCAGTATGTGACCGCACGTTATCGTGCAGTAGAATCACCTGCCTAGTTCCATTACCGGTAAATGGTCTTTTTACAAGTTTTACGGGTCACAGCACCTTCACCTAAAGTGGAACAAATCATTTCGGTAGACCAAGCAGCATTTTTATTCAACTGGGGTGCAAAAAGGATGCAGTACCTCGGATGCTTCTTTTCGTACAACATCGCGATAACTATTGTTTTCTGAGGTTACATCGGCAAGGCCGTCAATTATTATAGTGCTTCTTAAAGTTCAAGGTTGGCACTTTCAAATCACCATGTAGGACGGGAAAAAAGTTCAAATTTTAACCAGAGTTACAGGATGTTAAATGCAAAGGCACCGAATTAATTCGTACACCTAATATTTTCGACGATAATGCTTCGTGCGATGCGAGCTGTTCTGCCGGTAATGGGCGCGTCTTCTTCGACAGATGTTTAACGGCATGCCGCATTCTCCGTTTCCCACTGGAGCAGCAACCGGTCCAGGCCCGCTGCCCGGGCCGTATAACACGAACATACCGAGCAACGAGTACATGGGTCCCGCCGGTATGCCAAATATGACTCTACCGCAGCCGCATTTTCACATTCAATCAGGTCCTCACCAGCAACACCCGCCTGGACACCCACAGGGGCCGTCTCTACCGCAGCCCGATCAGACTAACCTTCCCTACCAACCGCAAGGGTATGCTTAATTTAATGATCATCTGTTATCCCTCATTTACTTTATTCTTCTCTTTATTTCTTCTCTTTTATTTTTCTATGATCCATTATTTTCTTTCACATTACCTTACATCTTAAGACTTCTGGTTCCTCACCATAGTCGTCTCGTTTGATGACTATGGTGAGGACTGATGAGAAAATGCACGTCCAAAATTTGTTAAATAATAATTTACTTATTTTGGTTTTATAGGAAAAAAATTAATTTTCTTCAATTTTTTCTCCCATTTCTCGCGATAAGGTTTTTAATTTTTTTCCGTTGAAACCTTTCGAATTAAACTTTTGAAACACTATTAAGTGATATTAAGGATCCTTGGTCCTTCTTACTGTGGTCGTTTCGTTTGATGACGTCAGAAGCGAGAAAACGCAGTTCGTGATCGATTGAATGCATTTATTAAGTATTCGAAAAACTTGCTTTAACAACCGATGAATAACCGTAAAATTCACGTAACACACAGTCATTCTTGAAATCAAAGAATGTGACTATAAAGTGACACTTTTGATTGATTGAATGCATTTGTAAAATATTCCGGAAACTTTTATTTTGTCTTAACAATCAATAAATGACAATGAAATTGACATACAATCTTTTTTTTTGCAGTCCGTCTTTTCTCATGATTTCGTCACGTTAATTTAACGGCTGTAATAATGTATGTTTTAATGTACTGAATCGATCATCACGAGTGTTATTTTGTGCATATATTCTTTTATTTCCATATATATCGTCGCATAAATTGACGTGATTTTCCTCGCTTCTGATGTCATCAAAGAAGGACTGCCAAAGTGAGTATTCAGGAGTCTTAAAGATCGATGTGTATACATGTAACCGAAGAATCTCTGCAGATGCAGTTTCCGAACTTTACGACGTTCCTTGCATACAAATTGCAACATTGTTGTTGTATATTTTTGAAATCATATACACAATGCCTTCTTACGTTCTTATATCTTCGTGTTTCATAAGATAATTTCAATATAATCGTCTGTCGATATCATATTACGTTCTGTTGATAAAGTCGAATATTATAATTCTCCGTGGTTTCCTTCCTTCTATAAATCTTTATAAATGTTTGATAAATTATGTCTTTAAAAATCTTTATAGATTTTTGATAGATTATTTTTTTACAAATCTTCGATAAATATTTTCTTACAAATTTTCGATAAATTATCTTTCTAAAAATTTTCATTGATTTCCGATAAATTATTTTTTCTTTACAAATCTTCGATAAATATCTTCTTATAAATTTTTATAAATTTTTGATGAATTTCTAGATCTTTACATTTTAAGGAACATTTAAATTGGCTTTCAATGTTACTTAAGAGGTAACAATTTGAGAAGTAATAATTTACATAATTATCTTACGTCATGTTACGCATCAGATATCCAGCACAGACCGGCCCAGGGCCGTATGGTCCGCCTGGGCCCAGAGGACCGTCTGTGAGCCAGCAACCGCAATATGCTCCACCGAACGGGCAACACATGATGTGAAGCGAAGAGCTATGCGTTACGAAAACACACTCATTCTTGTACTCTAACTCTCAAGCTGTACAATATTACGATATTATAATTATTTAAATAAACATAAACCCCTCCCCCCGAAGTGTAGCCAAAGATGATGGGTCTTCAATGAGAATTTTGCGCTCGTATCAGCGCATGCGGTGTATCGTTTATTATAACGCCACGCGCACGTAATACACGCGACTTGGGAGGAACAAAGCAGAAAGTGATTTACGTCGCCTACGACGTTGCGTCGATGTTAGTTTTGTGATCGTTACATGTATTTATTGATACTCGGACCGTTCGGTTTTAGTTTATTCACATTCCTCCGGTTTGCTTCATCCCTCCTTCTCCGTTATTGTTTATGCTTTATTACGAATATCCGATTCGTAAACGAATGAAAGAAAGAATATTCATCGTTGTATCTGTATAAAGGAAGCGTGTCGATTTGACATGCGTGGATTTCACATGTTTTCGGCTCAATATATATATATATATATATTTCGTCAATATTGTCGCAATTAACTAGAAGAAGAAGAAGAAGAGGACGAGAGAATTTTCATGCTTTGTTCTGCGTCTCTCTGAGTTGCAAGCGTGTTTTTGTCGTCTACCACGTTGTACGAATTGTAAATCTCCGCACTCGGAATAACACACTGATCTTTATTACCCGATGGCTTTGCCGGAAGACGAAAGCTCTCGACGAACACGTTTTATAGTTTTCTACTTCGCCGTTGAGCCTCGATAGAGCTATTTGCAAGAGATCGGAATCGCGTGATTGACGGGCGAACGGATTAACGCGATACTCGATTGTTAATTACACATAGCTGAACATCGTCGTGACGAAAGAGGGAGGGAGGGAGGAAGAGAGAGAGAGAGAGAGAGAGAGAGAGAGAGAGGGAGAGAGAGAGAGAGAGAGAGAGAGAGACAGCCTCGAGACGGGCTCTCGCAGAGCAAAACCGTCTCGAGTTGCGGTCTAGTCAGTCCACTGTGTATAATAAGACTAATTCCTATTAATCGGCCCGAACGAGAGGCCGACTGCGAGGAACTTTTTATCGATTGTTAATGCATAATAGGCGCGACAATGTTTATATATGTATATTCTCACAGGGGCGAGAAACGCGCGTTCCGTCTCAGTCGAATGTGCGACGAACACGGCCATTTCGGGTTTCGATGTATTTGCGATGTTATTATCGAAAAATTCAACGCAACGTTACGCCTGTCGTTCTCTCCGTCAAGAAGAGGCGTCAAGGAAGATACACAAGGAAGCGTATCGAGTTGCAATAGTATTTTGTATAAATGCAACGAGAAAGAGAGAGAGAGAGAGAGAAAGGGGAGAGAAATCTCTGAAAACACAATGCGGGCGAAGCTCAGCGAAACGCAAGCCTGAGCGGTGGCGCAATTTGAAACGTTTATTTCCGAGACAGGACGAGCATATCCACGTTGTTTATAACAATCGTGTATATACTGCGTATTGAACGAAAACGAAACCAGAGAATGTGAGCGGAAGTATGAGTTTCGGTCCTACAATAGGTGTTTTAAGCTCTGAGCTTTAAGAAATTGATCGACCAATCATAGCCGATTATTTTCCTCACACTTGACTGTGACTGGTTTCAATTTCTTGAGGCTCACAGTTTAAAGCCTACCTATTGCAGCATCGTGACTGATGGAGAGATTAGAGATGAAGAAAATAACGGGTCCTATGGAGAGTAGGCGCAACTTATGCTGTGTATGTTACGTTATATACATATATATATAAAATATCATTAAACTGACTTTGTTTGCATAATCAATTGTCGCCTGATTACATGTACTCCTCATTTCTCGCGTGCACACACGGGGGAGCGTTGGGCGGATAAGAATTGTCCTGAGAGAGCAGCCAATAGCAACATTGTATATTATGTAAATAGCGTGGGAAATACATTTTCTTCGAAACTTCGACTCACATGCCTCTCTGTTTGGTGTCATCCTTATAAGCGCGTAATATTATTTAATATTAAACAATATTCCGGACATATTTTTAGAATATTAGACGTAATATTCTAATAACATTCTACTAATATTATTTAATTTCAAGTAATATTTCTGGAATATAATAGATGATTATATATCCACTACTAATAATATTTAAAAAATAATATTTAATATTATAATATTTTTTAAAATATTCAACTCTATGTATATACAGGGTGTCCCGAACTAATCTTGGTTCCCGTGGTGTGCAAGTAGAACGAGTGGAACTCAGCAGAAAAGTCCTATATCATTTTGCAAATAACACGCAAATTGTTGAGTTATTAATTAAAGAAGCCTCTATATATGGCCATTTTTTATCGTTGATAATTCGAAATTTTGCGTGTTATTTGCAAAATTGTATAGGACTTTTCTGTTCAGTTTCACCCGTTTTACTTGCACACCACGGGAACCAAAATTAGTTTGGGACACCCTGTATTTAATATATATAATTGTTGTTTTTTATTTCAAATTTATTGCAATATCAATTGTTTTATTATATAAATGAAGTTGAAATAATTTAGTATAAAAATACGTTTTATACTGAAAAAATTACACACACACACACACAATATATATGTATATGTATATCTATTTTATTTATATACATTTTTCTATGTTATTATTAGATAATATTTATATTTATACAATATTCTAGGAATATTACGCGTTCATAGGGATTCTTCATCATCGTTTCACCGAAGAATTATTTCATATTCTGCGAGTTCGCGCGCGCACACAATGTGTAGCTTAATGTATAAAGCCACGTGTCTAAAGGTTCTACGGATTCTTCGTGGCACATCATTTGTCATATTTAACTGAACAACTTAATGACGCTTACCGTTGTTTCTGATTATAGACTACAGCTAATCAAGAGGGATTTTCATTGTGTGTTTGTGTGTGTCGCGCTTCTTCGACGATTCTGAATCCGTCATGTATACATAAAAAAGTGGCTTATTAATTTGCCGCCGCTTTTTTCCTGCCGCGCCTCGCTGACCTTTCGATACTTTTACAGTAACAATTGCTTCCCACCGTGCAATGGCGTAACTAAAGGAAAAAATTTCGGTGGGTGCTATAAGTGGACAATTGAAAAAAGAAAGAAAATAGAAATTTGAAAAGTCCTAAAAATTGTTATTTTCTTTCGTTTGTCAATCCAATTTCATCATCCAATTGTTTCATTTTAATATTAAAATAATATTTATTTTATTAATTAAATTATTACTTTCGAGTGCAATTTCATTCCATATTTTCTCTTTCTCTCTCTCTCTCTCTCTCTCTCTCTCTCTCTCTCTCGCTCATTAGCTAATTTAAAAAAAATAATTGAGAATTTCGGAAGGGGGAGGCTGCAGCCCCCAGAGCCCCCTACTGGCTACGCCACTGCCACCATGCAACAGACGCTTAATGATACACGTAGAATTTCGCACACGCAAGCATGCGAGAATAATATCCCGTATAGTTCCCCGTAATGGAAGATTTACGATCTATGAAACAATGAATTAACAATTGAGAAGAACTCGCACTCGCGGATTAGTCCCGTTATTAATCGTGTTTTTCTCGATACGACACGTGCATATACATGATCCGCGCATCCGCGTGCATAAATTTCCGTTGACTTTTATTTCTCACAACATGTAAGCGCGACTTCCTTTTAAAGCAGTTGGTCCGTAAATTAATTCTCTCAAGAATCCTTCTGAATTTTGTCGGCATATTAATTGAAACACGATCTGTACGTATTTATCCAGACAGCACAAAATCTGGACATAAGACATCTTTTAGACGTCTTGAAGTTGTGTTTAAGATGTCGTGATATGAGACGTCTTTAAGATGTTTTTAAGACCTCTAAAAGACGTCGTATGTCCCGATTTTGGACATTGTGCTGTCTGGGTAAAATTAGAAAAAGGTTGATTCCCTATAAGCGTGTAATATATCTCAGTGTATATTTCAGAAACAAAACATTTTACAGAACAACGTTTCATACAAAAAGTGTATAGTTTCAAGGGGGACATAAGATGGTGGGAACGATTTGACCTTGAATTGTTATTTATATGTCACATCACCTTGATTTTTTAAATGAAACCTCCTGCTTTTTATTGCATATTTTTGTAGCTTACCTCGAGAGCTTTTCAAAATACTATGATAAAATATTTTTTCATTAAGTACTTTTCGAGTTACACAACACAAAACATAAATCCGGGACATAAGACGTCTCTAAGACATTTTAAAGATATTTTAAGGACGTCTTTGATGATTTATTTGGCGAGACGCAAGATGCGTCCTCGAGATGAAATTACAATAGCCGAGCGTGCTGTGTGCCAACGTATTTTTGCAAGTTTGTGTGTCGAAACCGATTTTGGAATTAAATGGCCATCCTCGAACGAATGTTCGGATCATCGCGGGATGACCGATGAGATTATGCATACCTACCTACGCAGATCGCGCAGGTGAATCCGACATCCGACGCGATGAGAGATATCGAGAACACACGGGAGTCGATGCCACTGGAGAGGAGGCCGAAGAGAAAGAAACCACGATTAGTTAATCGATGACGAAATTTATTTTCTTGATTAAAAAACACACCGCGCCGCGCAGCAACTCGGACCGACGATTTATGAGGTGCCTGCGTGCTTGGAGGAAAAAAAGCTTCTTCGTATCGGCATGTCGGCAAGAGTGAGACTGTCCCTTCAGTCGCGACAGAAGAATAATTCCAGTTTGATGCTTGCGTTAATATTACCAATTAACAGGACTGGATATTAATTAGTTCAAAGTTAAATTGATAAGTTAAAAAGTTAATGAATAAGTTAATTTAAAGTGGTTAATTTTAAGTAAGTTAACTTTAAACTTAAACCAGTATATCTTAAAATGCATTAATTTATAAGTTTTTTAATATAATTTAAAATAATTCGTCAATATTATTAGGTGTACAGATTAATTCGGCGCTTTTGTATTTAGTGTCCTGTAACTTTGGTTCAAATTAAAATTTTTTCCCGTTCTATGGTAATTTGAAAGTGCCAACTTTAAGCTTTAAGAAGCACTATAATAGTTGACGGTGTTCCCGATATAACCTCAGAAAACAGTAGTTATCACGATGTTGTTCAGAAAGAAGTATTTGAGGCACTGCATCCTTTTTGCACTCCAGTTGAATAAAAATGCTGTTTTGTCTACCGAAACGATTTGTTTCGCTTTGAGTGAAAGTGCTGCGACCTATAAAATATGTAAAAAGTCTTTTTACCGGCAATGGAACTAGACAGGTGATTCTGCTGCACGATAACTTGCGGTTACATACTGCGAAAGAGATGAATCTGTTTTAAAATGCTCATCCGCCGGATGATGTTGAAGCGACCGAAATAGGTAGTAATCCGACGAGGCTGGATCTAGCGAATAAACCGCATGAGGGAGAATTTCCCAGCCCAGTGTACAGATGAGCAGAACAACGTGACACAATAACGTCAAAATCTCTCCGCCCGTATTTCCAACGAGAATATTTAGATGGTCTGTTTCCATCGTTTCTACCGCTCTTCCTTTCTCTCCGCGGAGTCGAGAAATCGACGCGCGATTCCAGTGAAAATATTCTAATAATAACGGCATCAGCGCGATTATCCGCCGTGTTTTCTATATCGAGACGAAGTATGTTTACAGGCAACGAGAACGGCAGAAACAATCATCATCACAAAACCGCAACTCCGAATGGACCGTCGCTCGCTCATGACGATCTTTCGCGCGGCAACGAGAACTGGCGCGAAGTTCTTCAAGGTTACAAACGAACGGTTTCTCAATGTATTTTCCTGCGTAGGAAAACTCCCTCTCTCTCTCTTTCTCTCTCTCTCTTCCTCCCTCTCTCTTTCACTTACCTTCGAATATTTCAGTTCCATCGCTGGTAAAAGGTTCGCTTTTGAGGGTCGACATCGCGCATGCCATCCGTTAAGGTTTAAGTTGGTCCATAAATTTACTTTCTTAGAAATTTTTTAGAATTTTAACAGCACATTAATCCAAATACGATATCTATAGATATATAAAATTATGAAAGGATTGATGGTACCGAAATTGAAATAATCAAAGTCAAAATTAGCATTGTTTATGTCAAGCCTCAGCAAGAAATGCAACTTTCGACTGAATTTCGAAATAACCGAGTGCGTAACTGAGGCTCGACGTCTTAAAGATTATTGTTTTTGAATTTTTAATTACAGATTATAGTGGATTTGAAACCAATTGATTACTTTGAAAAATATACGTTACAAAAAAACTTATATTATTAACCATCAGAAAATTTATACATATTTTTTCTTGTTACCGAAAGTTCTAAATTATTTTAAAAGTACATACATCATTTCCAGAACACATTTATAATATTCGATAAATAAATAAAACATCGCAGACGAGTTCACAATATATTTTGAGAATATACGAAAAATGATATAGCATATAATATACAAAAAATATTACAGTTACAAATTTTCGTATTAATTATTGTCACTAAGTGCTATAAAAACAAATAAAAATTAGCAAACGTGTACGTCTTCTTTTTATTATTAAATTTATCGTCTTTTCATTAATGGAGTAATAAATTTCAGTATATTAATTTATTTCGTTGGTACTGATTACTCATGTAATGAAATACTGCTGAAGTACCAGTCTCAATGCTAATACAAGTTTCAATCACCAGATGCGATACTTCATATGAACAATTAATTCCCGAAGAAGACTTCGCACCGATAATTTATCACCAGAGTTCTGTGGTGGATCAGTGATTATCACAGTCGTCATTATCATTTAATTATTCCACATTATCACTATCTCCGTAATTTAAGTATTCAAAATCATTCTACATTAGTAGTAAAATATGATTGAGATACTGTAATTTATTACTGACTAACTAATAATATTTTTCTGTAATTTTTCCGTAAGGGCTGTTAAAGCTGTAAATCATAAATCAT